CTAGTAGACATACTAGGTGTTACGTACCTGTTGAACTCGCGCGGTAGTGCCTTGACTACTGCGGGAATGGTGCACGTGCGTGGATCATGCCGTGCTCGGAGAAGTCGGCTTCTGTGTAGCGAAATCAAACTTCCATGTTGTCTGGCCAGAAAGGCATTAGTTAAAACGAACGTGGGTACAGTGTCTTTAACTTAAGTACCTTGCGCGTCTGTTCAGTCATGGTAAAATATCAAGTACGAGAATGAACGAGTGAAATATATGTATATATCCAAAAACAAAAATGTCACAAATGTGTAAAAAATTAAAATAAGGCAATGATATATAAAATCCCGAAAAGCAACAGACTCACAGTTAGCAATTTGGTGTACTTTAATGAAGCTTTTATGTTTCAAATATGATCATCGGCAGGATCACTAACCGTGCCGAGTTATTGTCTAGTTCGATATAAGTACATAGATATTTGTTACTGTAATTACAGACTTGGTCCAAAAATTGAAGATTTGTTTTGATGTGACGACTAAACATGGACGTCACATCATTGTCTATACTGACTCGTCCTAGTGTGAAAATAACTAATATAACGTCAAGCACCTCTGAAGAACATTCTCAGCAATCGATTGAATAATATACTTGATATGAAGAGGAATGTGTTACACTAAATGACTAAGTTCACAATGCAAAGCCATTCCATACCGATCCTTTTTTCCAATGTCCAACACTTACTCCGTGTTGAACACTTAGTTCAATGAGGACTTTTTCAGTTTTCTTATGTTTGGCTTCGATGACCATTTGATTTAGAAACAATAGCACTACAAGCTCTTTTGATGCGGTGTGTTGAAGTGGAAAAATATATTTTCAAATAACATGATATTTCAGAAGCATGTGACCGACCTATTACCAACATTGAATACCATTTTACAATATCTATATTATACTTTGTGCTTACCAACATCCCCACTATTTTTCATAGAATCTCTTATAGCGGAAGAAGAAGAATTCCATTCGTTCTCTATGCCCTCCCAAATACAGAGGAGCGGCGTTTTAAACCAGTCCTCGGAATCATATACGTTTCTTCACATGAGTTGACCTAACTTTGAATGTCAACATTTCGCATGTGTTTTCAGTCTTGTTTAAACCTGATATGAACAGTTTAGGTCCGTTGAAACTGAATGAGTTCTGGCGGCCTTTCAGATTATGATTATTTACAAACAGCTTATGGGTACATAAGTATTGTGAAGAAACGATTTTTGATTTCATCAGAAAAGGAATAATACACAAGTTTCACGAATGCTAGCAAAATATTTGCCATATTTAATAGAATGTTTTGTGTAATTGAGAAGAATATTCAGTTGACGTTAAAGAAAAGGGAAAAATAATGGAATAGAAATGAAGGCAACATGAAATACGTAGTTTAATAAGCCTGATTATGAACACAGAACAAGAATAACTGATTATATTTCATCAAATGAATAGTGAGAAACGAAAAAAAGATTTTCAAAAAGTTATCATTGGAGTTAGATTCCACGGTAAAACGGTGTAATAGTAGATGTGAGTGATGCTATGAAAGTGAAAATCAACTGAAAAATAAAATGAATCTAGAAAACCCAAGTGTAACACAAGATGATTTATTTTTATCAGAAGGGGCTTATGGAGATTTTAGAAATTTTCACAGATTGAAACCATAAGTCAGTTGAAGCCAGACCATCATGAAAATCCTGGAAGCACTGGACGGCCGGTTCGTCCTAGTATGAGACTCCTCAGCAGTGCGCATCCACGATCCCGCAACCCGCGGGATTCGAACCCAGGACCTACTGGCTTCGCACGCGTTTGGGAATAAAAATATGTTTGTAAGGAAAAGAAGGCATGAAGAGAGTTTCTGGTGTGTCAAGGGACCACCAATGATAATGACAACAATAATAATCATAAATAAACTCACTATAATCGACACAATCGTTGTAAATGACGGATAGTCAATTGATTTTTTATTTAAAAATATTCGGCGTCTAAATGATCAATGATTTGAAACCTCTATCATGTTCGTGAATTTTCAAGTTGTAACACTGTTATATCGAAAGAAACGTTATTATACGTAATGCACAAAACCTAAGGAATCTGGATATAATTATATCGGTAGTTAAATGGTCGCGAAGTTGAAAATGAAATCACTAAAATTTCGTTTAGTTCTGATGTTTTGGAGTGAAACCGAACCCTCTAATTAGAGCATGCATGAACTTATAACTTTGATAAGTGTCGTTAAACATGCTCTGCATATCATATGGGCCTAATTTAAATAAGGTAATAAATAACCCCCGTGTGACAACGAACTCAATCTTAGTGTAACGGGTCCAGTTCTATGAAAGTATTTCATTGATAGAAATGTTGAAAGCAGTCGCAACGTGATGTCTGGTGTTCAGAAATCTTAGAACATGAAAATTTTCGGCAATCGTTTGACACCAGATTGTTTAGTCTCTAGGATTTTCTGTCTTAAGCACCTTATGTGTGTGGGTTCTTGTATGCTAGTTCCCCCGTGTCTTTAATAGTTACTCTCATCTGAATTTCGAACGTCTCTGTTATCAGTTACATTATGTAGACTAGGTTTTAATAGCTGAAGTCAAAGGCTATGTGTCGGTCGATACTTAGATTAAGGATATATCAATATTACATGGAGTAGCTCTTATTCATGCTTAAGAGAGGCAACTAGGAGAAGGGCAGTATATCAAGACAAAATTCACAGCTGTTTGATCTGGGTGTGATATCTCCATCAATTTATTCAGGATCTATAAGGAATCGTTATATTACGAGTTTGATGTTTCCTTTTAACATGCGCAAACATGTTCGTAATGGCATGCCTGCAAAAGCATGTTAACACCGAAATAGTATGGGGAGAAACGATGGCAATTGTTAACCAAGAAAACAGACACTCTTCACATCACGATTCGCACAAAAAGGTAGATTTATTTACTTTAAATACAAATAAAAAATAACAATAATATATCGTCTGATATGAATTAATGCATACAGAAACTAACATAAGACGTTCCATTTGCACACATTACAAACCGACCAAGAGTCACTAAACAACTGATTATATTGTTTCAATTGTGCTATGCATAATAAAGACATCTGTTTCGATATCTCAGTACTATGTATTCTTTAGTCTCTCTGTTCCTTTTACTTCCAGGATTTTAAGTTAGGGGTTTACTTGTGTTTTAGTTGGGTGGTTCCCCAGAACCCATTCAACTAGTGTTTTGCCTTCTCATCACAAAATTTTATTTTTTTGCTGCCATAGTAGGTTGTTGCTGATAGTACCCCGTCAATGTATCTAGAAAACGTTGCGTAGACAGCTGTTTACAAACACCTGTACCATTTTGGTGGTGGCAGTGATAGTTCCCGAAATTGAGCTATGTACAGTAAAACTGACTAGCAATTGAAAATCCTGGCTTTAGTGTTGGCTGATAGTACTTTAGTTTCAGATACTCTTAAGTTGTAGGAATGCTGTCGTTTCGCTAATTTAAACCTTTGTATTAGTCTCAGATACTCCTTGTTCATCAATCTTACTGTGCAGGCGTCTTTTATTACAAAACTGTCAAACATTTGGTAGTCTTCTAAATTAGAACTTCTCCCACCCGAGATATTATTGTTCAGTGGTCGAAAATAATGATTGAGTAGTGGCAGCGCACTCAATATCTTTTAAAAGCTAGTAGGTATAAACAAGTGTATGTGAAACCTCCACTAATAATTCATACTCTACTACATTCGATAAATTCACTGTTATTGTGGGCGGTGTTCGAAATTTAATTGTGATATAAAATGTGCTACGCAATAGCCACCAAACTAAAGTATTGAGCGAGAAGACAAGAATGGAAGAGTCTATAGGGCCACTGAATAGGATGTATAAATACTCACATATATATACACTTCTGTTCTTTTAAAAAATCAATACGTCGCTTGGGCAATGACATGCATTACAACTTCAGGTCATTCTGGATTATCATCAAACAACCTTTTCGTTTGTCTACTTCTGATCAGCTCACCTAGTGATTTTTTCACTTGGCTTTGAGCCACGAGTGTGAAGGCCAATGATATTACATGAACGACTCGACAGTAATAAGAGGTATTCAAACAAAACAAACGCATTATAATCATTGCGACTACATAAACCAGTAGCTAGAATAAATGACACGTGGAAAGGTTTACGCAAAATATAGTGGTTTCGAATATCTGAGAGAAAATTCATGAACTGGAATGCAACAGGTACAGCTATCCAGCTAGGGCTAAGTCCCAAATAGAACGAGAGGATGTGTATCTTGGATTTCATTGCTAGCCAATATCGTTATCCCGTTTTAATTGTAAATTGTAGAGAAACACCTTAACTAATAGTAACATCAGCAAAAAAAGTAAATTTGCGCAAAACAGTGTATTTTCTTCAGTAACTGAAATAGAAAGAATTTTAAAAAAAAGAAAGAAACAAAAACAAAGAAAGAACACAAGAAAAAGAAACAGAACAAAACACAATCTTCCTTAGGTAAAAAATTACATTTTCACTATTTTATGACCAGATGAAATATTCAACAACAAAAAAGAACGATTAACTTCCTTACTATCATCTTTGTCCTGCTTGTTTTCTCTTCTTTTGAAAGTTCTTATGCGTACCATGATTATTATCATTACACAATATTGCCCATACAATCAACTACAATCTGGATACAGATGAATTAGTGATAATAATAATAACCATCAATATTATTATTATGTGAATTTCATAATGAATGTGATGAAATGGAATAATTGCAAATAAAGCATATATATATATAAGTATGTACACAAGACGTTAAGTTAATATATGTTAATAATAGGTAGGTTAATAGGGATAAAGTACATATGAGTAATAATAAGAACAATAGTGATCCATTTAAGATTCAATTATATCAGGTTTTTAAAACTGAAAAGCTTAAAATTAATTGAGTGATTATATGCCTATTACTCTTTTTGTATATATATATATATATATATATATATATATATATATATATATATATATATATATATATGCATAGGGATCTACAGCCAGAACAGTGTTGATTAAAAGTAATACGACTAATCAACCTAAGAAAAACAACAAAGCATATGGTCTTTGAATTATATAATAGCATAAATTGTCTTGATAACTTCACGATGCTTACCACAGACAAAGATAGAAATAGTAAGCATATAAATATATATTAGTATATAAGTAGTATAACAGGGATAAAACAAGAGAAAGGCAGCAAAATATAGGCAACTTGATTACGTGCGAAAAAAAAGCTGTAGTATAACATGACATAATAGTTCATAAGTAATTCTTTTCAAATCTCACCCTCCCCTTACAACCCAAAAATACAGTTAATCAAGAATAGCGATAATAATAGTAATAATAATAATGCAGTACGGATAAAAATTATGAAAGGAAAAAGATAATCACCTAATTCATGAGCCTATTTTAATTAACAACATAAGAAAAATGTCAGTCTGTGTTTTTTTTAAAAAAAAAGCACAACAAAAGTTCCCTAGTTGTAGACACACAGAGTGAGAGAAAATTCAAAAAGGTATTTTCATTATGTACAAAGAGGCACACACAATCAGAGAAAGTACAAATATAAATAAATAAATAAAAGCGAAAAGAATATTCAAGGAATCAGTGAGCAAATAGGAAATAACCTCTCTTTTTTTCCGAAAAACAAACAAACACTAGGAAAATAAACAAAGAAGTTCAAGTACTTCTTTATTTTTAAAAAAGCCAACATTAAAGCAACGCATACACCGGAGAAGAAACACTTTCGTTATGAAAAATACACACAACAACAATAACAACTTGATGATAATAGGCAAAATTGATAAAACAAATAGATAATAGAAACTTGATTTATGATTGTGAATGATCTTCAATTGTTAAAAAGCCTTATTCATAATAGTTTTTCTAAGAGAATGATGAATAATAAACAAGCAAAATACAATTAAAAACACAAATAGGCATATACATATGACATCCAATGACAGTTATTATTGAAATAAAACACAAGAAATACCTTTCATAAAATATTACTATAAGAACAACGAATATGAAATACTATAACTCAATTATATTGTTTGAATGAGTAATAATGGTATCATTCATTCATTTCAAACGCCACCTATGAGCATTAAAAATAGATTAGACTGACTATATCTCTTTATTTCAATGGATATACATAAATAAAACTTTGAAAGAGAAAAAAAAGAAGAGAGAAAAGAAATAATACACTTTACACAAGAAGAAAAATGTGCCTAATTAGAGAACATTTACATGTACTTAAATCATGCATTTTTCAGTGGCGGGGGGGCGGGTATTAATTTGTTTCTTTTATATTATCATTTAAGAAAAAAGGCACAATGATAACAACAAAATAATGAAATCAATTGAATTTAACAAAACAAGTATATGACTGTATGTGTATGTGTGTGCGTGTGTATATTGTATGTATGTAAAGGGGGAAACATCACACTCAATATATATATATATATATCTTATTTGAAGGAATACACTTGTAATTAATTAGTTTATGTATAAATACAATAGCGAGAATAGTATACATATATATAAAACAAGAACAAGAAAAGAAAGAATTTATCCTATAAAGATAAGAATACACCGAGTAAAATTATTGTTCAATGATAAACCTGTATACTTTTATTGTTTTATTTTTGTGTTCGTAACTAGAATATAAATAAAACAGAATATTCAAAGAAAAAAAGAAGAACAACAAGAAGAACAAAGTAACAATGATAATGATAATAATAGTGGTCTAGGAAATTGATCTTTACAAGCAAACATTTAAATAAAGGAATGCTAATTCATGTTTTAAAACATAAAACAAATAAAATACAATGATAAGAGAAACATTTATCATTTATAAAATAATATTAAATGTTAATAAAGAATAATAATAGAAATAAATAAAACGTAATTAAAGTGTATTTAATAGAAGATGATGATTTAATACACACTATTTGACTGTTGTTATTTACTTTAATTGAAAGTGTTTTTTTGTTTGTTTGATGGAAAACAAATTACCACCGTTGAAGAAAACAACAACAACAACAATAATAATAATAATGGATGGACTGGTTATTATTGTTAACACCATCTTAGATTAGAGTAAATAATGTTTAGAAGAAACTAGTAAATGTATAATAGAAGCAAGTTATAATCAGCAGTGAATTAAATATAGTAACAGAATAATTATTAAAGACTTCAAAGATCATTGTTTATAGTATATATATATATAAGAAGATCCTTCTTTTATCTATTTTTATTTTGCTATGAAACAAAAGATAGAATAATTGATTATATTTTATTATGAATTACGGAAAGTAATTATTATTATTATTTCACAAGAGTCCACATACGCATACATACATACTACACAAGAGAACTGCTGCCAAAGTAATGACCATCAGAAAAGAAAGAAATCGTCTTCATGGAGGAAATAATTATTCTATTCACATTTTGTGCTTAATATGGTTTATCTCTGTAGAATAATAAATATAATTCAGAACAAAAAAAAGAAAGTGATTTGTTTTGGTCAAGTTAGGATAACTCTTAGAGACTATCGTCATTACCATGTAGAGTAACATATACAGGTCATCCCGTCTTCTGGTTCTATTCAAATTGAAACTGTGTTTTATTGAAACAAGCAAGGAAACTTGTATGTGTGTTAATTGAATGGTGAAAAGTAACATGAAAATAACACATACACACACACAAACAGTATTATCAGCTCAATAATAGAGTATGATAACATAATAATAAAACATTACATTCTTGCCTTTGTATTTTTGTATGTGTATTAGTTTAGATGGAGAAAGGCGATCATTGTCGTTATCACTATTATTATTACAACAACAATAACAACAGCTACTATTGGTATTATTATTATTATTTACACAAATAATTTAATGATCACTATTGATACTTGAACATGATAAAAGCTTCATGGTGTTTTAATGAATAAAAAAGAAAACAAAAAAATTTAATAATAACAGCATATTATGTTGAGATTGATGCAAGAGAATTTCATCAATGTGTGTTATTATTTATGCTTAGAAATAAAGTGGATGACATTGATGGTGTTGGGGATATATAAAAAAAGAAACTCAATCCCATAGCATAAGAAATAGAATGATCGATAGCCTATATATATGAAGTAAATTGAATGCGATTCATAGAGATAGAGCGCAAGAAAGAAAAATAAGGATAGACTCCGACTACAAAACCGGGGTGAAATTTCAGTAATATGTAGAATATACATATATAGGTTTTAGTAAAAATAAGGGATATAACATATCATAATAGAAGATAAATAGAAGAGAGAGAAGACCCAGAAAAGTGAATGAATTAGGCAGATAAATGTATAAAGAAACAAATTACACAATCACTAACAATAATACCACTGTCACACTATAATATTGTGAGGACTTCAAACCAACCAATCAAAAAATGATAGGTTACATCCATATCTACCGACTTCTTATGAATAGTATGAAAGGATATTTAATCGATCGAAGTCGTTATGGTGGTGGAACGGTAGAAGTAGTAGAGGTAACAATTGATCCAGATAGTTTAATTTCTTGATTTGGAGCAAATGTTAAGTAGGATGCATTCATTATGTCCTGTTCGGAATTATAATGCTGATGAGATGTAGTCGTCATCGTCGTGGTAGTGCTACTACCACTACTATTACTACTACTGGATGGAAGTTTTTCATGAATACAATGCGCTAAGTTACTGGAAGGAGACTGTTTATTATTATTGGGGGAAGCAAACTGACAAGGGAGAGATATTGTATTTGTATTAGAACCAGTAACAGAAGTATTAGTGACGACTGTGGTAGTAGTATTAGGACTAGAAGTAATAGTACTACTATTACTACTAATTACATTGGCTGTTGTCGTTATTATTGAACAAGTTGTAAGTGGCGGATTGACAGTTGAAGTGGTTGTAGAAGAGCTACTGTTACCAGTTTGTTGTTTCTGTTGTCCTGTTTTTATAAAAGAGATAAAAGGAAGTAGAAAATAGAATACAAGAGTAATGGCATTTTAACTTATTATAATTATTAATATAAATAGGTATGTAACGATTCACTCGTAATAAGACTATTAAATACCTGGCAATCGATGCTTTTTTTAATTGTTTATTCTAGTTAGTGCTTTTTAGCAAGGTTGTTTTCTATGGGACGAGGTTTCTGACCTCATGTCTAACCTTCCTCCCTTACCTGGGTTTGGGACCAGACCGGTAGTTACTCTAGAAGAACTACATGCAGTACAATACTCATTGACAAATTCAAGTAACTTGTTCTAATCTAATTACGCATTATAACACACATATTACGTAATAGTATGTTATTTGACAAGCAATTACTTTTGTTTAGAATTATATGTTTCATAGGAAATATAATTCTTGATAAACTATAAAATAACTATCGAAATTAGGTAACTATTTCTAATGTAACTAACATATTCAAAAAAGATTATGTTCAGAGAGATAATTGTTCCTTTTAAAACACAAAGAAAAAAAGATTGGATTGATTGATTACTTAACCTTTATATGGGAAAATTAAAATGGTTACAATGAAGAGGATATGCATTTAAATATTACCATGTTACTATCCGTTTCAATTTTTTTTCGCAATATCCCAGGTCATGTATGATTTAGTAAGGGGAGATATGTTTACATAAGAACTCTGTAAATGAATGTAACCGTAGACATTGAGTAATTTTTAGTATATATATCCCTCTTTAAGTGAATATGGTTGTTACATTTGAACAAATTATGATATCACCTTAAACTGGCGAACGGAACGAAAGTCAGCAACACAACAACAGAACAAGCTAAACTATTCTACTGCACCTCAGCTCTGCTAACTAGAGAGAGAAGATCAGTTTCAGACAATGTAAATGTATTTTCCACAAGCAATCGGAAGCATGAACCAATGACATTTAAGGTCCTTCCAAGTGGAAAATACAAATTAAAGGTAAAAATGGGCGCTTTTTGCGCAAAAATGAGGAAATCAAAATTCCAAAATGAAGTCACAAAAATGAGACGGTTACTCAGTGATTTCTGGGAATCTAGCATTCTTAACAATCATATAAGAAGTCAACTGTATAGTTGATAGGTTTAAGGTTAGTATTCCTTGAATCTCGGACAGTGGGATATAATAATTACTTTACATACTTATGATACATCATATATTTTTATAAATGATAGAGAACATTCAGTTCATCTGGTTCGTAATTATTTTAGAAATGTGAGAGTATGTGATGACAGTAGAAAACGTGGGTAGACTGTAGAATTTTTATAACAAGTGTCTTAGATGCGTTGCAAACGGTTTGGCTAGAATCTGGTGATAACTGCGACCAATGAATGGATATGTTATGTGAGATGAGACACAAATCGGTCATAATGGTGCAGATGAATTCACTTTTTATCGTCCATTAGATCATAGCGTTCCAGCATTCTTTCGTGTATACCTTTTCATAACGTTTTACTGAACTATATTCTCAAAGATAAGTCTGTTTTATTATCGGTTTTAGTGAATTAATTCGATTCGTGTTGGCTTTATCTGGTTGTATCAATGTGGTATGGGAACTTCTTTCGGCGTAAAGTTTTGTTATACTCTATGTTGATTTTGAACAAGTCTTCGACTGAATGCTTTATTCTAGAATAACGACGAAAGGGTAGTATATTTGATAAAAACTTGGAATATGGAATGTACACATGAGAGCAAAGATAGAATTATTCAAACAAAGGAATATTTCCCCTTATTTTCTATAGAACCACTTCAATAATAAAAATGCTATAAAATATATTGTATAATATGGTTTTAAATACAAAGGTCATTGAAAAAATCAAGGAAATTCTTAAGTTTTTAAGGAAACAATAATTTAGATATATTGTTGAGATTATGAACTGGTCTAAGTTAAATGACTATTGGAAACCAGGAAGCGATGGACAAATTTTTTGTCCTAGTATGTGACTGACTAGTAGCGATACGCGCCTACGAACCCTATCATCACAAAGGGCTGAACCCAGGAGCTCCAGGTATCACAGAGAGCGATTAATGTTTGAATCCTTGAAGCGCATCCAATAGTTTACATGTTTAGTTTCATTAAGTTCGCGGACAATTGTTCAACCAACTACCATTATCTTCGATAGGTGATCTCATTACATATCTTATTCACTCTCAATTGGCATTACACATAAATTATTAGTCGATTAGATATTATTTATCTACGATATCAGACATGAGATTTTCAGTCACTGTAAATGAGTCAAAACGCAACAAAAGTTGTATACGAATAATTATGAATGTGTATTACTCTATAGAAAGTATACATGTTACGTCATTCACCAAGGAGAACTGGAATCACACCAATTTTAACTTGACAATAAAACAGAGTTCTTACCACTTTCATCTTTACGTGTGAAAAAGCGATGCGTGAGAGCTTCCTCTGGACGAATACGAAACCGGGGTTCATATACTAACATACGTTGGATCAAATCGACGAATTTGTCATAATCTTCAGGTGTATGACCTTGTTCCCCACGACGACAACTTTTAGGCCCACCAATATCAGCTCCGACAACTGTACGCAATGTTCTTGTTCCAACTCCAGAAAATTTACACTACCAAAAAGAGATTTTCAATGATAGTTAATTACTAGAAATAAGTATTGAGTAACTAAAACTGTTTAGCTAATAATAACTGAATTAATTAGTTATTACCCAAAGTAAAGCGAGATACACATGTGCATCGACTCAAGCTGATATATACAATGAGATAAAAATATCAAGATAAATCCCATAGCAGTAGAAACGACGACGGTATTAATGGTAGCAAAGATTAGATGTAGACAATAGAAAAAAGAGTAAAGATTTCGGGATTCAGTAACTAAGGAAAGATAAATAGTGAATGCATCTGTGCCATTGTGATCGATTCCGAGTTATATCGTCCAGTATCCCAGAACATTGGTTACGATAATCACGCTTACATCAAGCAGGTAGTTTACACATGTTAATATATCTCAGTCCAATCGTCAGTGACTTTGTGAACTGATACGTCTTGATTTGCCGCATCTGGCTTTCTTCCATCTAATTACTACATAAACATGGTGCTTCTAGGTAGGCAGTAGTTGAGCATACACAATATATGTCTCAACTGATGAGTATTTACTACCTTTTTTATTATATTTCTCCTCTTTCTTAAGTACCCTATGTCTAACTCAGGCATTGCTTACTCTGTGGTTCCAAAATACACGGATGATGTTCTAAAGATACCTATTTTCAGATACTAATAACCCACGAATATCCTCTACTCTTAATGTCTATGTTCCATACACAGAAAGTAGAACGTAACGAACCGTTGCACGGAAGACTTATCTTTCATTCGGTACATGGACATCTCGTCTACACCACGAGTGATGAAATCAGGCAAATGTAAATTCAGATTTCTGTATCTGTGACGAGATCTCCATTAGACATTAATGAATCATCAATTCACCTCATTAAAAAAGTATGAAAAATAATATTTGATAGAAAGTTCTTTCTTCTTCAATGAATTAATGAATGTGAAAGAGTTACAAATTAGATCACTTGAATACTTTTGTAAATTATATTCTATTGTTCATTAATTATCACTTAGAAATATTAGACATTTTTCAATGATTCAGAAGACAGAGAGAAGAAAACAACAACAACAACAACTCAGAGATCATGAATGTATATGATTATATAGATATAATATTTCACATTATAAATTAAATCGGTTGGTCGGACTTCTATAGATTATAAGACTAAACAAAATTTGTACATTGTATCTAATTGGTTGGAAATTGATTTCCTCTAACAGAATCTGGTACAACATAATTATAAATCAACCGATTTGATAAAATCAAATATAGTGGCTAGTATTGGAATCCAGAACGCGCGTTTCGTCCTATTTGGGACTCGTCAGCTGAATGTACATGCATCTCAGAGTTGATGTTCACTTTGGCTGGGACTTGATCTGAGTACCATTCGTTTCAAACGCCATCAGGTTATTCATTTAGCTACTGAGTATTAAAATCAAATATGAAATGTGTGCATTCTAGTGCAACCAAGTTGGTTATTATTATTACTATTATTGTCACTTCATTAAACTGATTATCTATCAAAACTCAATTTGTGAACAAATAATTTAGAAGATCGATCAACAAACTAAGTGTATATTATTAAGTAAGATGAAGAGAGAAGTGAATTGAATGAAAGTTGTCATTTTTAAATATTAAAGATTCTCATTGTGAAAATTAGAACAATACATATAAGCGAACAATTGTTTTCAATTAGATCGTCATCAGGCCTTACTCTAATGTATATGAATATTTATACGGAAATGTTAAACCAATCAAGGCAATATGGGTCAATAATCACAATGAAATAGAATAGGTCACCACACATAATAAGTAAAATTACAAGTTGATAGTAGGTAGACAGGTATACTGATAGTAGTAAGAATAATCTTAAATACGATAACAAAAGTCTTATCAATAGTTAAACGTTGGAAATAGAAGGTCAAACGTGGGTAAATAGACTTGGAATAGTCCACATCAAAACATTAAAATCATTACGTAATAAGATGTGTGAAAATAATTAGATAGTGAAGAATACAAACGGCAAGAGGCCGAAAATTACAAACGAATAATGGATGTGAAAATAAGGCTAACGATAACAAAAATAGAATAAAATAAATAGATGATAAAAAAATCGTTAAATTATAACTGGCCATGGGAGGGATGGTGGGGGGTTACGAATTTCTTCTGTACACATAAGCTGGGGTTATATGTACGAATTCCTATGGCTTCACCTATATGTAGGAGGCGGGAACGAACTCCGTTGGAAAATGATAGAGGTATACGATAGATCACTCGAAATGACTTCGATTTACCTACAGCATGACCGCTATCAATGAGATGTGCCAATATAGAATTGCGAATAGATTTTATCGGGACCTTTATAAACCACCCTGGTAGATGTTCACTCATTCGTTGGTTAAGTTGCCTGGTAGTACGCACGATACAGTTATCTCCACAGGAGCAGCTAAATTTGTAGATGCACATTCAGGAGGCCAACTCAGGTAACTTATCCTTCGTTTGCATAGACCTCGCTGGTCGACAAGAGAAAGCCAACGCAAGATTGGTTGCGTAGAATGTCCTGGTGATTACTTTCGTTAATCTATATTTCAGAATATCACTGGCCACATCCCCGTTGAATTGTAGATTCATATATAAAGGTTCCTTACGAACAGTCGAAATCTCCGACTTCTTTATTATGTCATACATGTAGTTCTTAATGAAAGCACTGGGGTAGCCGATCTCGGTCAGTGAGTTGTTGATGAATTCAAGCTCCTGATTTAGAATGTCAACTGTGCAGATCTTTTTAACTCTGCTAGTAAGACAATCTAACCAAATTTCTCTTGTACCGGATTATTGACCCATATCGCCTTGATTGGTTTAACATTTTTGTATAAATATTCATATATATTAGAGAAAAGCCTGATGACGATCTAATTGTTCAAATATGTAAAATATTTTTTATTAAGATGCTACCACTCATGAATATGTGCTTTACTACAGATAGTGAATGTGTTGAGAAATCACGAACCAAAGAGAAAAAACAAACAAGATAACAGTTTACAAAGTAGTTAATAAATTGTAAATACTTCTTTTCACCTTAAAATGACATTGCTAACTCTAGTAATAAATGAGTAAGGCAAAAGCAAAAAAATGGGAGATTTACAGTCTGGATTGACAGATTTGGAAAATGTTAAAAACGGTGTCAAACAATAAAAAGAAATACAAGAAAAGTGAACACAACTGATGAGGTATAAACGATAACAACTACATCATCGAAGAAAATTTCAAGTGATAATGGTGTAAAATAGGAAAATTACCATAAAAAAAGGTAAGAAGATAACTCAGTAAAGCTGAACTACTTATATCAGAAGTGAGTAAGTCCAGAAATGAACAATCCATTTTAATATTTTGAGGCATATATAGAGATGGTATATTGTCCATTCAACGTGCGATGACTAGTATTAAAAATGAAAGGTGTTATATTCTAACGAAGAATAAATGAATAGTAACTGGTAAGAACTATTTATGGACTATTATTACATATATTCTTGTTGTATAATTGTTAAGTAAATATATTTATTTATATTCCTCTTATTATAAGCTTTTATTTAACCTATTGGTTATGATGATACGATCTGCTATTCTTAAGTTATTCCCAATATATTAGTTACAATCTCTCACAACCACAGCCACTTTTAACCTGGTCTTGTGTAATTGTTACTATTTATTTTATGGTATGATGCGGTTTGATTTGTTTGTATATAAACTGCGTATGGCTGGAACACATGATTGATATAGAGGAGACTGACACAGGTGTTCTGCACTGAACCGGCTGAGTTAGGCGAGGAGCTACTATCTCAGAGGGCCAATAAGAACTCGCAGTTAAATCTAGGCTTCTCATAATGGTCAACAATTTAGTGTTCTAATTGGCAATCTTATCATGTGATAGGAACATAAAAGGAATTGCAGATATTTAAGTTTAAGGATAGGACTATGATTTTAGGGGTAAGTGTTTGGAATTAAAGATTAAGATATAGAACCCAAAGACTTAGGCTCCATATAACCTATACATAAAACTTAACAGCAATTCTAGTGTTCATACTAATCTTAGCAACAAGAAATTATTCATTCATATTTGCTAGATTCAGATTGGATGAACGAAGTCAAGAATTTATCAGGGTCAGTTATGGAGTTTGTGCTGATGATGTCGTTCAGAAGAACGATGACAGCTCCACGACCAAACCATCCAGCTCAGAGAACAAAACTCCAACAAAATCATCTACCTGAGCTACAAATCCTATCCACCATCTCAATTATAAAGTGTAGCACAAACTCGTCATTTATAGTTCACAGCCTCATGAGATAATCCCTTTGTTTCCTCTATTTATCATTAGAGAAATAATATTGAATAGCATGACAATAATGAACAATGGTCAAAATTCCTAAGAATCTAGTTCTAGGAGCAACTAAAGACACCAACTGGTGAACGGTCTCTGGTATTTTTCAGACATAGTGAAAGTTTTAAGGATAACTATGACTGGAACCTCTTCTTGAAATAAATAGTCTAAGAGAAACAAATCTCATCATTTATAGTGCAGCGAACAAAATATTGTATTTTTCTTTGTTAAAAAGATTCACTCACCTCGTAATTACACTCTTGTTTAGTCCATACACGTTTCGGTTTGTAAAACACAGTCCCAGATGTTGATAATAATACACCTGTATTCAATTTATCAGATATATTGTTTGATGTATTCGAGTTAGTATTACTATCACAGCTATTTGTAACACCAGGGTTGACTGGATTTTTTACATTTGTACTATTATTGGAGCAATAATTAATACAATCAGCACCACAGGCCGAACTACTACTGATGGTAGTAGTAGTAGTAGTAGCATTAGTAGTATTTTTTGATGAAGATAAAACAGTGGCTGTTGCTGCTGCCACTGTATTATCTCCAGCTATTGTGTTTGTTTTAATTGTAGTTGTTAATGTACCATAAGTGGTTGTCGATGGCGTTGTTGTAGGGTTCGAGGCCGGATTAATACTATTATTATTGGCAGTAAAGTCAGCACCACCATCAGTGGTAGAAGTACTGATTAAGTTTGTTGCTGTTGAAGTAGAATTCAAATTCACCGGTATGCATTCAAAAAAGTTTGATAATTTAGGACTAGCTTCAATCATATACACCGGTGGGAAACCAAGCACTTCGATAATTTGGAGCAGTTGTTCTAGCTGAAGAGTAAAATACAGTGAAAAACTCATGAAAAATTTCAAGTAGGAAGGCGGAGGGGTAATAATAATAACATGGATAAAAGTGTACCTTTAAAATACACCGGCTATAAACGACAGTCAAATTGAGACGTATTAAAGCGTTTAAAACCTATTTGATTTTTGAGAAATTTTTTTTTACAAATAACAATTCTATTGAACGATATTGCGACACATTTCTGGAGGTATATGAAAAAAAATTGGATTAGAGGTGGTCTTAGTGACCTGGGAGCGTGACTGCAGTGCCCAAGGGACAACTGCTTGAGGTCGGTCACACACGACCTTTTTTTGGGTAATTTTCGTGTTAGCTCCGTACCTGTTGAGACCTTACCACCGGAGATGGATATCCGTGGGATAAGGCGAGGTGTGTATTTTTAGGGTCGACCTTTTCTAACCCCACCCTTCCTTGTGTGGTTGGTTTCTTTTAGTCTTACCGCTTTTCAACCGACCTGTCTGACATGGTAGGACCTGGAGGAACGGTTGTTCCAGCCAATATCGCTCGGTTGCTTCATCACGATAGGCAAGCCCGACCACCACATCCAGGTAGCAACAATGGTCGGGGCAGGATTAATAAGGGTCACATTTGAAGATGATTCAACATCAATTTTTGTTAAAAACATAAATAGAGAGATTTCAGTTTACCAATTGTGATAATTCCCTTGTTTATACAGTAGACAAACAGATATGGTGTGTTAGAATTGTTCTAATAATAACTTCTCTATATAATTTATATACAACTTGGTACAGCTAGACACAAAAAATAGGATGCACCACATAAAATAAAATGTGTGAGCTGTGATACGTAGGGAGCGAATTCCTGTGAGCTCTTGACTGAAGAGTTTTGTCCACAAAGGAGTGAAGATGTAGTCTCGTGGAAACCAGTTAACAAAGATAGGTTCGTTCATTTTTCGTTCCTTAGGGTCCTTAAGCTCATGTGGACCACTGGTATGGAATCATTATTTCCCAACTCTTCTAGGTGAACCTTGAATATCTACGCCTCAGTTTTAGTAGCTGATGCTCGTTTTTCGTCCCCTCATTTTCAAAAAGACATTCCAACCGCATGAAGACAGTGAGTAGAACTTATATGACAGAGGTTGTAAGTATATCGTCGTATGAAAGTAAATTGTCTCCAATCTCGACTATACCAAGACATACAGACAGATTGAGTAATAACTATGAAAGAGGTTCTACACAATTGAGTCTAATATACAAAGTGATTATCTCTACTGACAGTTACTTTTGCATAAGATGTTGAGTTACCAATATAAGATAATCGTAGACACAGAGATAGATATAATAAATAATGAAAGGGAATTATAACAATAATATATAAAAACACAAACCTCATTCGCTCCGCAAAATAATGGTTCACCAGTGTGCATTTCAACTAAAATACAGCCAAGTGACCACATATCAATACCCAAGCCATAGTCTAAATTGAACAATACTTCTGGAGAGCTTAATATGGAAAAGAGAAGACATGATTTTTTGAGAAATAAGCAATAAAAACGAGAGGTGGATATAATAACCAACAATACTAGTAAGTAAAAAAAGACTGGTTGTTCTCATAATTTCTTTTCATTATACATTATAAATGAAAGGCAAAGTACAACTGAGTGATAGATGATAATAATGGTAATGCTTCAGCGAAGAAAAACGTGAGATAGTACTAAAAAGAAAAAAAGACAACTATATCACGTAGTTATTTGAAACTAAGTACACAGAGTGGGTTTCGAATCTTTGAATTAATTATTTGATCGTATATCTTTTGCCTAAACTAAATGCATAACGATTTCTGTGTAAAACACTTATCCTTTACCATTTGTTAACATTTTCAAATAACCCAGTGATGAGCAGTAGATCGCAATCCATATATTTTCTCACATACAGTTATCTGGAGTTCAATAGTTATCTTCAGCTGAAATCAGTTGATTAAGGAATATATATATATATATATATATATATATATATATATATATATATATATATCTGGTAGCGATTTGAAGTTATTTTTAGTGTGAAGAATATGATGGTAAAAATAGATTTAGAGACAAGTGTTAGTCTAAACTACTTTAAAACAGTATCAACCAACAATCCAAAAAAGCAAAGCACTGCATCAAATTATGATACTATGTATTATCATGCAACATATTCTAAGGAAGACAAATATTCTTAGAACTTTTAATGTGCAGTTTCAGTTAAACAATGAGTTTTATTAATAAATTATTGGAGTAGAGATTGGATGATCGGGAGCCTGTCGTCTAGGTGATTATTTCAAGGCACTTTGACCCACAATCGAGTTTTCATCTATATATATATATATGTGGATGGCACCTGACTATTTGCGATAAAAATATCGAACTCAATAAATCAAGTTCATATTGCAATCAGGATTATACTCAGAATTTCACTTCATGAATATCCTACTGAAAAGAAGATCAGATTATTAGTTACTAAGATCCATAAATGGAAGGTCATGATGGAACGTATACAAAATTATAAAGTTTGGTCATATTAAGTCGGAAAAGAAATTTGATCTACACTTTCTATAATCGAAAATCGGACGAATTTGTAGCAAAATATGTAATCTCCGAAAGATATTTATCAATAATATTAACTTCCATAAGCTTAAATTCAAAACAGCGAACTCAAATAATATGTAGGAAAACTTTCCATGAAGATATTGATGAGTTTACATGCTCTTGTGGAGTAGGTTAAGTCGACTGCATAAAAGTGAGCTCTTCCAAAACACACCTTAAAACATCACTCCGATTGGATATCAGAAAAAGGAGTATGGTAATTATAACTCATAAGTTCTAAGTCAAGTTGTTCCACTATAAGCAATATTTCTAGGTCATCCATACAGTCAAACAGATTGGTCTGAATCAGATAGAAATTAAGGAAGCATTCACTAAAGAAGAGGGGGAGGGTTGAAAACACCTTCCACACAAATGATCTTAGCTTTCCATTGTCTAGTCGACCAAAGATGTTTATTCAAACAAAGGATAATTCTGCCTCTGCTTTATATTAATTCAGCTGCTCCTGGAGAGGAAGCTATATTGAGGATAACCGCCGACTTAACCGACAAATGAGTAAAGATATGATGTGATTTGAGAAGAGTAAAACAAAGATAATATGTAGCTCTGTCTTATCACAGTCAACAGCAGTCAGAAGTCGAATACCACTAACTTATTCCAAATGTTCAATCATAAACCTTTGCATTTTTTCCCAACATGGTTCGACGTGCTTTCCTACATACAACTAAAACAGTAAGGATTTGAGCCCACGATCTAGTCTTATATACTAAGAACAATTGGCCTTTTAGTTGACCTGATTTGGTTCTTTCAAATCCCTTGTTTGCTTGCTTTTATTTACTCTATTTTGTATCCATATACTTGAACAGATTGTTTGCACACTTACAACGTAGTATTAATAATTTTTAATGAATAATAATTTAGTGTTTATTATCCCAGGTTTGGTCTGCTTCTTGTATTAAAATATTCATTCAATCTGTCTTTATTTTTGTCACTACCAGTACGCCTATTATCTTAGTGTCAATTCATACTATTTACGTTATCGTTTTTCAATGTGATTAATGACGAATAATTTGACTTGGTTTGATTTTTTGCACATGTATATAAACATTACTGTACATTAGAGTAAAGCCTGATAATGATTGGATTGTTTGAAATTAGATCTGTACACTATTGAATCCAATTTAGGTGGTTTAAGAGTCAAGTATTCGCGTGATGGATAACAAGGATCCACCTAGGGGGAGTTGGAAAATCTTGATTCCAAACAAATAGAGCACATAGGCTTCAGGATCCTAAGGAAACAAATGGTGTATGAATCTATTGTTGGTTACCATCTACCATGAGACTACATCACCTCACGTTGGTTCACTGCCTTGTGGATTAGACTTTTAAATTAAAGGCTCGTGGAATGGCTCCTTAAGGAAACCACATGCTTCGGTTTGGGAACCCAGGCAGTATCACAGCCCTCACACAAATCGAATGATTTATATGATGCAAACATATTTAGTGCCTTCTTGTACCAATGGTTATGTGTTTAAATAAATAAAAATGGAATAATTCGAGTGCGAAATCGAAGGTCCTGGGGTTTCATTCCTAGTGCCAAGCTCAAGGATGTGCACAGTCGACAAATCCTATACTAGGATAAAACAATTGTCCAGTGCTTCCAGATCCCCAATGACTACCTAACTTCGATCGGTTTGCAATCGCGATAGAACACAAAAAACTATATCACTGGGAAATTTTTTTTCGCAAAATAGTCTGTATATTTTCATAAATATATATGTTCGCTAATACAAACTACAACAAGAAAGAATAGACAAAAGAATGGAAAAAATGGTTTAAAAAAATTAAACACCTCGACTTCAATTACTTATAATCATAATCTAGTGAGCCGAGCCTACTCGTCCTCTTTTCCTTTGTAAATTTTCAAAAAAAATGTTACATTACGTAATAAAAAGATTACTTTAAGTATTCTAGAACTAACACCCTTGAAAACTATTCAGAAAATAAAACAACCCTATTGAAACTTTAGTTCTTTCACATTTCAAACAACTTGTTTGTTATTGATTGATAATTCAGTTTTTGCATGGAAATTCATATACATTCCATTAATAAATGGAAATAACTAGAGTTATTAAACGGTATATTAGTTGAAGAAAGAAACCCATGAAATAATAAATGAGTTTATTATAATGTTATGCAAATATCATTCGCTATTCTTGCATTGTTTTAAGAAAAATAATGAAGTAGACATGTATTTAATTGAGAAGAGGGAAAAAATACAGTCATCAAGAAAAGTGATGGTACGGGAATCAATAAATCGGTCAGTCTTATTCTTAGTACCAATATGCTACTCCTGTGTATGCTACTTATATTGACATAAGTAGTATAAAACACTATTCAGGAATAGAATATTTGGCAGCAGAAGGTCGAGAAGAAAAAAACGGGAACAGAAAGCAATTTGTATGGAGGTGATGGAACAGTGGGTTCTGAGACGGTCGATTGACATTTGCAAAGGATCAGTCAGGTTTGAGACAATTGATTGGCATTTTGCAAATTCAGTATTTTCTGTATGGTTATTAAATTTTACTAAGACGACATATAATTTTGTATTCAAATACATTCGATTGTCCCTACTTGTGTTCTCATTCACTGCCCTCCTACTACTACTGTGCATACTATTGAATAATAATAATAATAATAACAATAATAATAATAATAATAATAATAATAATAATAATAATAAACGGCCCCCAAATGCCCTGGTATGACCGAGAGTGGAGTGGGCCCGCACTCCCTCTCGAAATACTCTCACACGGCCACGCGTATATAGCCTCTGACAGGGAAGCCCTACTCAATGCCTTCTCACACCACGGATGTTGTTTACGAAAATGAAAGGACGAAAAGCGAATGTCCGGCGCTTTAACCGGATTCCAAACCAATGGTGTACATGGGCTCCAGTATCCTGCAGGAACAAATGGCGTATGAACTAATTGTTGGTCACCGCCTTCCATGGGACTGCATCTCCTTACGATGCTCCACTGCCTTGTGGACCAGACCTTCAGGTCGAAGGCTAAGGAAGTGGCCCTCTAAGAAAACAACCTGGTTCGGTTTGGGCACCCGGGCACTATCACAGCCCTCACACATATCAAATGAGATTTGTGTGGCGCATATGTATTTGGTGCCTCTTTGTATCAATATCTATGTGTTAAAATAAAATAATAATAAAAAGGGGACTTAAAATTAACCAGCTTTCCAGACACACAGAAATATACTCCATATTATTTAGTATCATCAAAATAGGTTTGGAAAGGCAGTTAACATTTTCACAATTACAAGTAAATGATTAGTAGTATAGTAGAATTTATTTTGAATTTGTTGTAATATTGTTAATCAGCAAAATAAATACTACGTAATCAATCAATAGTAATGATAACCATGGAACGTAAAAAAGCAACAACGAATAAATTGATAATGATAACAAGAAATAAATCACTTATTCATAAAAGACTGTAGATAGCCTAGATATTCACTTTTCACGTTTGTTGCTTACTAGACACATTAACGTATAACAGCTCACGTAAAATTGAGTTTGTTCACAATTAATTCGATTAAGTCATTTTGTTAACTTATTAACGAACTGAGTCATCCGTACAACAACCTATCTATATCATTGTATCTTTATCACTGTTGCGAATGTATGAATATGTATGCTTGAGCATTGCTTACTGTTCACGAATTTATTCACGCTGCTGGCCTTACTGCTAACCGCTTAATTGATTCGGTGGTTCATTCATATATATATATATATATATATATATATATATATATATATCCATGTTATTCATGTTCATTGCTCTCTCTCTCTCTCTCTTGCCTAACTGTACTCGCTTACTGTTAGGTATGCAAAGGAACATGCCAATAATTATGGAGTCAAATCGAATGGTGTCCTTGGACGTTAAATGTATATTTCTTATTGGTCGATATTTACTTCACCTGTTTAATATTGTGTAAATGTTGTTTTCTATTTTTATGTTACGATGTGGTCTGCTTGACTAGTATATAAACAGAGTATGTTTGAAATATAATGATTCATATCTCAGAGGCTGTGACTTGCGTTCTGGACTCAACTGGCTGGGCTAGACAGGGAAGCAGGGCCAAACGGGACTCTAAGTCGTTCATTATGTGTCACTGAATCGATCGATATAAACGCTGCTCATATAACCTGCAGTCACACCTGTCACAACACTTACTCGTAATCATATTCGCTGACTCACTCACTCTCTCGCTTGCCTTTCGGCACAACTATTTCATGCTTGTTTAACGCATCTGTGATTTGGGATATCTGTGTGTGATCAGGTATAAACGTAATCAACACTTTGCATTCGCCTTCTGATTAATATACCGTTGAAGCGTTATCTAGGACAGTTTATCAAGACGAACAGTATACGAAGTTTAAGGATTATATCGAATACCGACCACCACAAACCCCGTCGCCTCAGTGGTTTAGAGAATAAGTGTTCACGCGTGTTGAGTTCAATTCCCCGCGTGAAGAATCATAGATACAACACTGATGAGGAGTACCATACCAGGATGAAACGACCGTCCATGTGTTTCAAGGATTTCAATGATGGTCAAACATTGATCAGTGAAAATTAACAACCCTATTATTTATTTGTTTATTTTAGCACATAGATATTGGTACAAAGAGGCACCAAATACATATGCGCCACACAAATTTCATTTGATATGTGTGAGGGCTGTGATAGTGCCCGGGTGCCCAAACCGAACCAGGTTGTTTTCTTAGAGGGCCACTTCCTTAGCCTTCGACCTGAAGGTCTGGTCCACAAGGCAGTGGAGCATCGTAAGGAGATGCAGTCCCATGGAAGGCGGTGACCAACAATTAGTTCATACGCCATTTGTTCCTGCAGGATACTGGAGCCCATGTACACCATTGGTTTGGAATCCGGTTAAAGCGCCGGACATTCGCTTTTCGTCCTTTCATTTTCGTAAACAACATCCGTGGTGTGAGAAGGCATTGAGTAGGGCTTCCCTGTCAGAGGCTATATACGCGTGGCCGTGTGAGAGTATTTCGAGAGGGAGTGCGGGCCCACTCCACTCTCGGTCATACCAGGGCATTTGGGGGCTAAATTTTTATCAACAATCCTAAACTGATAATATTAAAGATAAAATGATTCAAATATTACATAATATCATCAATGAAATAATGAATTAACTTACCGATAAAATCTTGATTGAATATATTGATATACTTTTTCATGTACATGACATGAACTACCAAAATCAATAACTTTAATTGCTGAACGTTTTGGATTAACTAATAAAATATTTTCCGGTTTTAAATCACAATGTATTACTTGTACATCTGATCTAGATAGAAATACTAATGCAGCACATAATTGTTGAGCAAATTTTCTTGTTAAATTTAATGATACACCACGATAATTTGTATTACCAAGTAAATCATATAAATTATAAGAGAGTAATTCAAATACTAAACATAAATGACCATGATAACTGAAATGTCCTTTTAAATTAACTATTAAATTTTTAAAAAAGAATGAAAAATGAACATATAAGTAGTATATAACAATGGATACATTAAAAAAAGAATGAAGATAATAATATAAACTATTTTTGAATATTATTAGTATGGGGATTGTAGTATTTTAACAGTTTAATTTATGAATCGATCTAAGCTAGACCATCATTTCTGAATACGAAAATGAAATGAAATTAATGTTATAGTCAGAGGAAAGTGGTTAGAACATAATATATATGATGACGTATATACAATAGTTGTTGTTGCTACCTTGACGTGGTGGTCGTGCTTGCCTATCGTGATGAAGTAACCGAGCTATGCTGGCTGAAACAACCGCTCCTCAACCATATCAGACAGGTTGGTTGAAGAGCGGTAAGACTAAAAGCAACAAACCCAAGGTCCGAAGGCGAAGTCGTACTGCTGACTGTACAGAGGTGTAACACCAGTAAGGTGTTTCCCTCGGACAACCAGCATCTGCAGCGATGCTGCCTTCCCACAAGGAGGGGTGGGGTTAGAAAAGGTCGACCCTAAAAATACACACCTCGCCTTATCCCACGGATATCCGTCTCCGGTGGTAGGGTCTCAACAAGTACGGAGCTAACACGAAAATTACCCATAAAAAGGTCGTGTGTGACCGACCTCAAGCAGTTGTCCCTTGGGCACTGTAGTCACGCTCCCAGGTCACTAAGACCACCTCTAATCCAATTTCCTTTTCAAGTACCTCCAGAACAACTCCTCCACGGTGTGGGAACCGGGAAGTGATAACCGCCCTCATACCTTTAACAGCACTCAAGACCACTGACTGATGTTGAGTAGTGATCATAGTGTTATGCAACAAGATATTAAGAATAGATATTAACACCGTTAGAGGTCTACTACAACAATACTTGACATAAAATAATTGATTTTTGTTAACAACAAGCTTTTGTAATGGAATCTCTACGTGAAGTATTCAATAATGCAGGAATAGGTATTCGCTAAGTTGTATGGATTTCGGATATTATTGAGATACTGAAGTTTACATAATTAACTTAGCTTTGCTAGACAAACACTGAAAACCAGGAAGCACTGGGAATCTATTGCGTCGTAGTATAGAACTCCTCAGTGGTGTAGATAGATGACCGTTAACTAGATATCGAAAGCAGAACTATCAGGTCATGAAGTGAGCAATTAACCTTTAAAATGAGCCAGGTTGCAATGGTTTGACTTTAATCAGTTCATAATATTGCAAAAACCTTCTTTAAATACCATTATTAACAGTGGGTAAGTGCCTCACACAATGTATGGTTAAATTCCATTAGTTAAGGCATGGATGGCTTTAATGTGCACTGCTTAGGAGTTTTATGCTCGTACGAAAAAAGCTCCTTAATGTTCCCTGATTTTCATTGTTTGCCTAACAAAGATTAGTTCATGATGTAAACTATATAGTTGAACAATCCTCATAATTTTCTATAATTATATTATTGAGATCAATTTTACACTGATCAGCATTACAGACTATAATGTCTGCATAAAAAGTACATTCAACAGATAATCCAGACCCTTTAAATATCAGAATAACAAGATATGGATTATAATTTATAAAAACAAATATAAACTTTGCTTAAGAGAATGGTTCTACATATCAATATATTACTATTCAATAGAGTATTTGCATTTATAAGATGACATGGCTCAAAATCATTTGCAATGGCGCAGGTGCATACACACTTTGTGTTCTTCCAAATTCTAATCTCCTGATTCTTCCTTCTCTTTTTTCTCTTCCCAAATTTATTACATTGGATTATACTCTTTAAATAACATCTTCAAACACTAATCTTTGCGATAACTGCTTATACTTTTACTACCTCTACCACTACGGGATTCGAATCGACAACTGTATCTCTGTGTTAATGTGATATAGCAACTCGAACTGATGTATGTACGTACGAAGTTCTACGTTGTTACTGATTGACTGGATTTATAAGAATGACAATAGAGCATAAAATATTGAAAATTTATAAGTTATTACAATGATATTTAAATATAAGATTATACAATAATAAAAAATTACATAGATTGAGTCAAAATTAACATACAAAAAAGCTTCATGATAAATATGATCCAATTATTCAATCTATTAACATACAATTGATAATAATAATAATCATAAGGATCACTTTCATAATTATGATGATATATGATTTCAATTTCACTTGTATAAAATGATTCTATACACATTTTAACTACTAAGTGTTCTATTAAAATAGTATGACGTACAGATACCTACCTACCTACCTACACACACACATATATATACACAAATGAATATCAGCTGATAATGTGTTAGATGATGATTTGATAAACCTATGGAATATATATTCACTGAAAGACATTCAACAATAAACCAACCAAATTTACACTACCAATGTGTAATCAATGTCGGTTTTTTTTTCTCTATTTTTTTTCTTCACAAAAATTTTTTTTATTGTTTGCACATAGATAGATTGTCAAGAAAATAATGAAAAAGATAATAGAATGAAAATATAGATGGTAACGCGTTAACAACAATACAGTCATCATTAATTGACAAATAAGGCAGAATACAAAATCGATATACATATCATCATAGATGGTGATAATTCAACTGTCATTACATGTGTTCAGTTTGATGATAAGAAGTGATAAAAATGGTATATATATATATATATATATATATATATATATATATATATATATATATATATGCTTTAAATAACACATGAAATATGGATGTAAGATACGGTGTTTTAAAATAAAGAATAATTTGTAAGTTACTATACCAGTATTCAATCATAAATACCATCGAATCATTGATCGAGTATGATAAGTACAAGCTCCAGAGGTTGGGAGTTGGGTATTAAGTAAAATGGAAAATCGGTGGATCAGATATCAAATTTAAATTGGTCGAAGCGGTTAGGACATGCAATATGAATGCCTAACCACCGCCTACTTCGATAAACGAAGTTGTCTGGTGTAGAGGTGGGTTCGAAGAAAGCTAGAAGGAGCCAAATTAAAACACTTGGCATTAGTATGAAGTCATGTTGGAAGAAGCAGACTATCTAGTTGAGGTCCACCTAATAACCAAGATCAGTTAGTCGTTGGAGACAATGAGTGGTAAATAATATTTGGACTTTATGCATTTAATATATATATGAATTGATAGAAAACATTCATCATGAAAGATCAGTGGCGTATAGTAAAAGGCAGAGTGGTCTAATTTAATATGGAGAGGCGATCGACACACTTAACTACATCATTGTCTATCATTAGTTCAGACGTTGAAGTAGACCAGTCATGAAGTAGCATTTGGGATTTAGAGAAAGAAAAAATGCTTGAGTTTTCATACATGGTAGTCAGGAAATCGTAGATTTTGTCAGTTTTCACCAGAAACATGTTTTCTGATTTAAAGATCAGTGTAGCAGAGTAGTGTTCAAGGAATACTAAGCAGCAAAAGTAATAAGGTCGAATAAACAAGACTTAACACAAAGTAAATTGTATCGTCCTAACCTGAATTTTATTATTATCAGCGTGAAGTTTATTCAGTAATTGTTTTAAACAAAAAAAGAAGTAAAAGCTTTAAATTTTTTTTACTAAATTTCCTAATCACTTTGATGCTTAAAATTTAATAAATCATAATCAATAGTGTTTAGGAGAAAAATAGTTGGAGAACATCGTCACACCACAAAACAAAATAACATCGGAATAATACAGTTTCAATGGCAAAAATTAAAAAAAATAAGCATTAGGAATATATCAGAAAGGTTTTTTATGGATATTATAGTGATTTCGATTTCAACAGTGCGCATCCACGAATCTCGCGAGACAGGATCGTGGATGCACACTTCTGAGTCCCACAATAGGACGAAACGACTGTCCAGTGCTTCCAGGTTTTCCGTGGTGGTCTAGCTTCAATCGGCTCATGATCTCAACTAAGAATATAGTTTAAAAAGACAAAGTAGGAAAGTATGATGCCTGAAGGTATACTAGAACGAAGATCTAGAGGAAAATAAAGAGAATTTTTATAAGTCATGTCACCGAACATTTCTAACCACTGGCCATGATTGTTGTACGAACACCTCAACCATCTAGTCTGTACGCATCGTCACGGCTGAGACCAATAATTGATAATTGATGTTACTTCTTAGTTTGGTCGAGAGGAGCTTTCTTCCCAACATCTTTTTACACAAGCAAGCATCGGCCATCAAGTCAGACAGTGGTTAGGCATAAATATGACAATTGTCCTAACCACATCATAGTCAATGAATATTCAGTTTCATACACTGATTTAACATCTTTTCCTAGCCTTGAAACTCCTTACCACTCAGTTGTTTCATGTTACACAAGTAATGCTTCGAAGATGCATATGATCAAAAATCTGTAATCTACGCATATCTCTATGTATAGATCATGGATTCATAATCATAGAAAGAGTAATGCTACACAGTCTCCTCGTTAGTAAGGATGATCAATCCTTCTTAAAGGTTAAATTTTAAAAAAAAATTATAAGCCCTTAGAGGATATCTATGACGAAATTAAATATAAAGTAAGATAAACTGCAAAGTCTAATGAATATTAATTTAAATATTATTTGATAAAAATGAAAGTATATTTAACAATCATTTACCAATATAATTAGCTCCAACATCTGTAGCTAATTGTTCATTCGCTTGAAATATAGACATTTCACGCAATAATTTAATTTCAACTTCAGCTTGTTGTACAAAAGAACGTTTATTTTTAATCACTTTAATAGCGACTTCCTCTCCGGTTAATTCATCGAAAGCACGAACAACCTATGCGTATAACAGAAAAAAAATTATAACATTAGAAACAATTCTGATTAATTTTTAATGATTCCGATTGTATTTCAGTTAATTAGTTAGTTACAACTTAAAAACTAATAGGTATGTACATCGGTTCAAGTTGTCATATTCTCATTAGCACAGATGGACGAAATTATAAAACCAAATCCCAGATTAGTGGAGGTAGCAATACTATCAATGATAATAGAAAAGATTAAATATCGAAGATAGGACTCGACAAGAAAACATAAATTAGTGACATAAAAAAAATCATAAGGAATTTAAAAGCGTACATTATGGGGGGGTGGCAAAGAATGGATGCACCTGTGCCATTTCAAAAGATTATGAGCCATATCATTCAAAGTCTAACCACACTATGTACGATAAACATGCGGACGCTAACCAGGTAGTCTATACCTATTATTATAGTGTTAGTGACTTCATGAAATGATGCTATGTTTTGGTTTGCCACCTCTAGCTTTCTTCTAGTTAAATACTACATCAGACAACATAGTGGTCGGGCATACGTAACACATGTTCCAACCTCCTCAGTCGATTTGCCATTCTGCCTCGTATTATGGCTTCATGCAATATTATATTTTGGTACAATAGAGAATTCTCAGCACGAGGTATTTCAACAAGTTTATTTTAAAAAAAAAATCTGAATCTGTACAAATTTTTAATTAGAGACATGTTTGAGAATACAGGTTACTGACTAGGTCAACTCTAACAACCTGTTCGTCACAGAGAATATTTGCTAGGTAAGGTGTTATGGAACTTTTATATCTGTGCTTGCATGGATTTCAATGTATCGACATCTCGTTCTACCAAAAGATATACAAGGAGACAGATGTGAAGTGGATGGTTAGTATCTGATACGATAACAGCTACCAGGAGTTTTCAGTACTTTATGTGTATATCCACAACCATATCAATAGTGGTCGCAAAAGATTCACCACACACCGTGCTAACTACCTTCAGCACTTTCCGCAATAGAGCAAAATCTTTTTTAAAATCCCGGGAAAGAATAATGGAGAAAAATAATGAATAATACGTAATATTCACGAATTGAAAAGTTGCAAGAGTAAGTGTCAAGTAACCCCAAAAACATGCAGCCTCTTTATGTAGCAAATCAGACGGAAAAATTTCTTCGATAACAGTAAAACATGAGAAGACCAACAAAAGGTTATAACAACTCACGTGCAATTGAGTTTGTTCTCGTTTAACTCAGTTAAGCCCTTTGGTTAACTTATTTAGCGGACAAAGTCATCCGTACTATAACAACTTATTGTACCTTTATTATTGTTGTGCATGTATGAAATATATATGCTTGAACATTGCTTACCGCCTAAGCATATATTCATTCTGCTAGCTATATTATTATTAGCTGCTTAATTGATTCGATGATCCATTCATTTCCCTATATATATGCATTTACACGCCACTCTCTCGTTTCGCTGACTCATTCATTTGCCACACTGCTTTGTGGTCTGAGTTATCTGCTAACAAAACTGTAGCCACAGCTTCTTTTTGTCTTCTGATTTCAAACGCCGTTGAGGATTATATGGTAACGGTTACGAGGGTGATTGGTCAACGAAACACAACCACTACAAGATAACACCAAGATTATTGACCTTCGACACTGTTTATCAGAGTTCCAATAGCACAAGTATTATGGGATCCCAACATGGTGTTTAGGTGCTGTTCATGTCTCAGACTAAAGTTAACAGTCTAACATTTAGACGAATTAAGTATGAAACCATTACCAACAGATCAACAATCAATACGAGACAAAAACTCATTCATTTTCAAGGGTTATAAAGAGGTGGAAATCGACATACATACAGTGAGATCGTCCGCATATTTCACAAAAGTGTTTTCTGTGATAGATGGCAGATCATGTAGAAAAAAGAGGTGAAAGAACAGCTCCTTGTGGCACACCTTTATGAGATAGTAGAGACGTTGAACACTCCCCTCCAGAAAGTGTATTTTTTTCTTCCAGAGAGGTAGAAACATAACCAGTTGGTTATCGAGCTGTCAATGTTGACGCTGACTAACTTGTTAAATAAAAGTTGTCTTGGTATAGAATCAGAAGTACAGTCCAGAAAAGCGCATCGAATATACATCTTACTCTTTTCTAAGCTGAACACTATATTGTAATGCAGAACAGCAACGGTATCTAAGGTACTTACTCTACTCCTAACCCAGGCATTGCTTAATCCGTGGTCTCAAGGTACGCAAGTGGTGCTCCAGAGACACCTAAGACTTATTACTAGCAACCTACAAATTTCCTCTACTTTTATTGGCCATCTCTCACACATATAAAGTATAGCGCAACGAATTGCTACACAGTAGACTTGTCCTCCTGTCAGCAGACGGATATCTCGCCTACACCACGAGTTATGGGAGTAAGCGAAGCGCAGCCGAGGCTTCTGAATCCGAGCAGATATTTCGCAAAACACCAGGATTTATGAGACTCAAGATAGGTGAGGCAATTCAACTACTCCACCACTTAACATTATTTCAGGCGCCGATGCTATTCAATGCTGAAGTGATATTTTAGATTTGTAAGGATTATATGTGTGACATATGTATGACATCATCTTGAAATTGTATAAAAACAAACTTTACGTACATGAAAATAACCAGTATGAACCTGTTCAACTTACACATATAACTTAGTATATAACCAGAATTAACAATAAGGCTGAATTATGAACGAACTATGCAAATGACGAAAACAAAAATAGTTCAGGTGAAGCAAATATTGAGGAAAGTGTACCTCTTGGCATTCAAACGAAACGATTATTAGAAAATTTAGGATTTTCTCCTTTCTGAAGTTATTTTTGCTCTTTACCAACTACTTAAATTACCGCATTTTTGTATTCTTCTGCTTTCTCGTCATGCATAAACTGTTGTTGTATGCTATATTTACTTAAGTTAATGTTCATTTATTATAGACCTATTACTCAGTTCTCTTCCATTTATAGCGTAGTTATTCCGTTATTGTCATTTCTTGATTATGTTAATGTGTGGTTATGATTTCACTTTATATTATTGTGAGTTTTGAGTCATGATTGAATTGAATATCATGGAAGCTGGCTGCTAAAAGTCTCTCTTGGACTCAAGGAAGAAGATCGAGAAGGGTTTATAAATAGCCGACTACTAGGTGCTCAGACTGTGTATTCTCAAGGCTAACTGTGTGAGTTATAAGTGTATTTAATCAGGTCCAGGATACTATACTAGTCTATAAACGAAAGAATGGACGCGAGAAACATAAAATTACAGATGGAATTCCGATTGATGATATTGATCAGTGTACGCAAACTACAATATCAGGGAATAAATCCCAAATTATTACTACAATTTATATTTTTATTGTATAGTAGTTAACAGTATTATTGTATATCATATCATATTCCCACCTTTTTTAAAACGACACGAATGTTGTAGATTTGAAGTAATTTTCCAAATTATTAATCATCATAATTTAGTTGTCTAATTAGACAGTAACCAAATTACTACGTTTATGTATTTCTCTCATCATAAGTTTTTCGTTAGCCCATAAACTAACGGTCATAATTTGTTGCCAGTCTATTATTTACGGTCTCCCATATTCGTAGCCACTTGTTCGTATCTAATTGTTATATGTCATTTCACGGTATGGTGAAACCCTGTATACAAACGTCAGTTCGAAATATAAATATAGTAAAAGCTGGTTGCTGACTTCTAAACTCAAGGCAAGGTAGTGAGAGAAGCTTGTGAATAACAAACCTGTAACAATCTAGCTTCATCGACTCAAAGTCGATAGTGCTGGTTAGACGTATAATAGACGAAGCCAGAGACATTAAGCTATAAAGCAAATAATAGACCAAATTAGAATTAGGATTCTGATTGGCGACTTGGCACACGATATTGATCAACGGGTCTTCAGATAAAACACCCAAATTGTGAGCTTCCAAAGAAAATGTTAACTATTGTTATATGTTTCATTAATTCCCAATTCTCGATAATTACTAATGTAATGTTCACTTCGTTCTATCATTTATGGAATGATTATATGCAAATAATGGTTCCCTAATTTGAGTTGCAATTGGATAATTCATGTAGGAAGCAATTTCCTACAGGTTTAATTCTGAGCTATTCCCTAGACCGTCGAATACAGAGTCTTGGTTTGGCCAAAGTCAGAACAAGCAAGCTATTTGACTAGATAAACTTTATCTGTTTCTAAAACATAAATTAATATTGTTAGTGTACAAACAAACAGTATGGTCTATTAATACAGGGAAAAACAGAGACAAATAACATACCAAACAGTAGCCAGAGAATAGGAAAAATGAGTCAACAAGCACATATTGTTTTACAGTCGTACAAGGTCAAAGGGAGTTAATGTGATGGTGGGCGTTTCACTTTATTATTGGTGGGTTCGTCTATCAATCACATTTTACAATCCCCCCTAAAAACGCGCGCCACATCCATTGTCCAGGATCGTCGTCGCCGTCAGACAACCGACTCCTTCTAGTAGACATAAGCTTCGTACGTCCCGAACAGTTTCGTCATTTTCGGTTTTCAATTTTGTCATTCGAACTTGTCCGTCAGAGCCATAGCTTACTTGTTCGACAATAGCTTTGGGCCATAGACTTCTCGGTGAGCCAACATTGTTTACTAACACTAAGTCTCCCGAAGACTCATCCATCAATACTTTCTGAAACAATAGTGATCGCAGAATTCTTCTTATCGACTTTACGATACGTCCCCATATACTGCCTCGTTGACTAGCCCTCGGAAGTTTAAAGCGCCATTCACAACCTCTCTCTAAAAAAGCATTTACTGTCTTATTCTGGTTCCAACTACACATGATCTGTCTAAGAATAGCATTGGCTCCTATAGAACTACCAGATGCACCATTACTCTTGTTCACAACTCGTACAAGGGCGCCTTTCTTAACACCATCCTCGATACCACGGCGAATATGTGCTACTTGCTTCTTC